GGAGGGAGGGAGGGAGGGAGGAAGGGAGGGAGGGAGGAAGGGAGGGAGGGGTACAACTAATTTAAAGTTTCAGATTGATATAAAACATATATCTGAAATTTAAAATTACCTTTCTTTCTCTAGTTCTTCTAGATAACCAGTGCTTTCTCTACTTCCATTCATAAAACCTCTTCTGGGAAATGATCCCATGGGAACAGGGCTGCATTCACCTGATCGACTGGAAACTGATCCTTCTCTGCTTCCGTATGAACGCATGGATATCTTTGGCCTTAGCTTCACTCCAGGGAAGTTATTGCTATCCAAATTCAGTTCTGAGCAGAAACAAAGAAAACTATTGAGTTAACAAGAAAAAAGTCTTATATGATTTTTTTAAATTATGCCATTCCCTGTTCAGGTAAGCAATGTTACTCAAAAGGCAGAAAAAGAATATAGGTAGTTCTTGACTCACAAACATAATTGAGCATGCCCATTATGGTAGGAAATTGTGACAGCCATTAGGTCAAGAGCCCACATGATCTTGTCACTCACAAGCCCTCATTCCTGCTTTCCTAATGTGATTGTTAAACAAATGCATGGGTTATTAATCGAAGGTGCCTCACGAACCTCAGAGGGAGATCCTAGAAAGCGCATAGGCCCTGCCCAAGATCACTCAAGGCCTCCACCAACCCCTGGGGCATCCTGTGCTCTGCTACTTGCTCAATGGGGTCCCCACAGACCTTGGGCCTGCTTTCCATCCACTGGGCCCCACTCTCTTCCTCATCCCGCATGAACCAATGAGCATTTACCTTTCAATGATCTCTGGAGCTTGGGTTAGAAAAGGAGGACAGGCCACTCCACTGCTGGGCTGTGTGGCACAATGAAATGGCAACATTATTTTACTGCCCACAATTCAATGCAGAATGCAGCTGCAGAATGCTGTGGAAAACTATTCCATTGTTGAACTACACAACATGATCCTGAAACACCCGCCAGTTTCCGGGTGGCCACAATTCAATGCAACTACTTGGAAAATGGCAGTCTCCACAAGGATTTTACCAAGCAACAAATCAATGGAGTGGTCTGTTCTCCTTTCTTAACCGCTCTTCAGATCTTTGAAAGATAAATAAGAAGGGGGTGGGGGCCCAAGGTCTGCAAAGATGCGGGAGATAGGCAAGGGAACACTGCAGTGTGCATGAGGTTGGCTGTAAGGGTGAATGACTATGGGGGAGCGCTGGGATCTATAACTTTGGGACTGATTTGTAAAGTAGTTTTGGGGGATCTGCTATTAACAGTCGCTAAGCAACCGGTCATACTTTGAGGATTACCTGTAAGAAATAAACAACAACAAACCCTCAAGGAATGCAGTAAGAGAAAATAAAAGGAATACTGCTAAATCTAGTTTGCCCCAGCATTATCTTTCTATGCCTTCCTGTCTTTGAAAACAATCCTACCATTTCCAGGCACTGGCGAAGTTATACACTGCTTTTTTTCTTTAAACACTTCAATATTCATCTTTCTCTCAACCATTCTGTAATTTGAACACACATTTTTTCATTCAGCACCATTCTTGCCCCTCTTTTTTATTCTTTTATTATTTCTTTCTAGGTACCCATTTGTATTGCAAATATTCTTAACAAGAATTCATTCCCCACACAGTCACCTTTCTTCACACTACCACTATCCTTCTTTGCAATTCTTTTTATTCTTTTTTATAAGCTTTGACAGATTATTGAAACAGAAATCACATAAGAACACTGTAAAGATAATATTACCACTACCTTTTTTACTAGTATTTTTATCTCTTAAAATTTCTCCAACCATTTCTCCGTCTTTAGTAAATATTCTATCAAAATATATCAATTTATCTATTTGTTCCAGTTTGTTAGTAGTTTGGTGAATTTTTCCTCCAAATATAAAGATAAAAGTAGGCAATAAATCTTATACCTGAAAATAAGACCCACCCTGAAAACAAACCCTAACCTGATTTTTTGGGGGTAGGCTTAATATAAGTCCTACCCCGAAAATAAGCCCAGGGGAAAGGGCATGGCCAGCACAAGTGGCAGCAATTGAGGGGGCCCCCATTGATGTCAGGCAGCAGCCAAAGCCTGCTGGCCCTTGGCACAGTGCAAATACCAATAAGTCTGAGCCTGGTGGCAGAGGCGGGGAGAGAAGACAGGTGATCCAGACGTGCTGTGTGGCTGCCTGACTCAGAGGAGGCTCATGATAGCAGGTAGAGGCAGAGGAATGGGGTAGGCAGGTGATACTGATGCCCCATGCAGATGTTTGCTCAGCACAGCCATAGGCAAGCCAAGAGATGGTGGGACAGAGTGAGCAGTGTGTTGGGATTGCCTCTGCCTGGCTCTGCTGTGCACTTTTCACCCAGAGGGAGATGAAGCTTTGTCTGCTTGCAAAGGGGATGCTTTGAAACGGAGCTAATCGTTCTGTTTCAAAGCATCCCCTTTGCAAGCAGACAAAGCTTCATCTCCCTCTGGGTGAAAAGTGTTTGGGCAGCTACCACCAGCCCTGGTCTCTCCATCCCACTGTCTGCTTGCCCTCGACCTCAATTGAGGCCAAGATCTCAGCATGCCCTGGCCTCCACCTGCCCTGCCAGGAGAGTGAAGAGTCCCTGTGAGGCTAGCAGCAGCATGGGCAGCCATTTGGTAGCCAGCACGGCACCTGCCACAGCTGAAAAGTATCCCAGCAGCACCTGGGCCAGCAGGAAGGGTGGATGCCGGCCAGGGGTTGCCAAGAGCTTGGCCCATTGCAGCTGCAGGCAAGCAGACAGTGGGACGGAGAGGGCAGGGCCCGCAGTAGCTGTGCTCCCACTCCCTTCGCCCCCCCTGCACTCACTGCCTCCTCTCCTTAAAAAAAAGAGACCTCCCTGAAAATAAACCTGCGT